AAAGTTGATAATTCTTTGTCTTATGAGCAGTGTATTATTTCCTCTAAATCGTCGAGTAGTGAGAAACCGCGTTTCGCGGGTCCTTGGAAACTAAAAATTGGTTTACGGCAAAAATTGTGACGGTTCATCGGAATGTGGGCAACGCTAGCGCCTAAACCGTTCAAAGGATTTTCTCCGAAATTAATATTCCTCTATCGACCTGACCCAAACCTGAAGCCCTGCGAATTTGGAACGGATATTTAAAATTTTGAGGATACTTTACACAAAACTTCAAGAACACTTTCAAAGAGTTCTAAATAATGGCTGCAATTTTTTATTAGGTGAATCAACGTATGCATTTAACACTTGCTGATTTTCATTAAACTAAATATTCGAAAATTGCACAGTTTCTGACTTGTTACTACAACAACAATATTGACGAGATAGATTTTTCTTTCTGAAAACTGTTTGACAAAATTAATTCTTTAAATAATGCGTATTTAAGTTTTTGAAAATGTAAGAAGTTTCAAGTACTTTCAAGTGATTAATATAAATAAATGAAAAAGAAAGTGTTGCTGGGGAGCTCATAACTAGCTCTAGGTCAGCGTGCTCGTTTCCCACTACGCCCGGGTTCGATTCCCCGTCAATCCAAGACTTCCTTGCAATGTACCCACATATGTTGCTGTGTGACGATGAGAAAGATCACTTCTCAGGTTGGGAAGACCGGGATACGACGTGGGGATGCCTACGTGCTAACCCACATGTACCCTCTTAACCCGCAAGGCAGGCCGCGAGGCAGGGTCGTCGCCTGTAGGCTTGAGCCCGTTCACGGGCTGTCGCACCAAGTACATACGTAAGTGTTGCTGCAGAATAACAAGTTAATTCTCTTACCCGACTTCCTAACGACTGCAAGAACGGCCTCAATCGTGGGTGGTCCTGTAAAAAAATAGATTCGTTTTTTCGTAAGTGCATGAAGTTTTTTTATGGTCGACATTGAGTGTGTTTTGCGAAGACAAAAAAGTGAGTGTTAGTCCAAGTCCAAAAAAATCGAAATCTTTAAAGAAATCACTTTACCTATGAAATATTAATATTTTCTACAGCTGTGAAAATATATTGCATTGAAAAAAAGTAATTTTATATTGGAGCACAGGCGGATGGTATCTCAGGGAAAAGCAAAAGCAAAAGCGACATAGTATAAGTCGGCGATTGGGAATGTGTATCTAAGGTTATGCAATGTTCTGTTTATGTTGTTCCATTTCCTTGAGAAGTAGACAACTTACTTTCAAATGATAGTTTTACAGATATTGATATGGAAAGTTATACTTTACATGACTTAGTTAGTTGCGTGAAAATATAAATCTGCTATTTCTATTTTCTTTATCCGAAGATGCGGATTAGAATGAATGCAAAAAATTAAAAATATGGCTAAATTTCTGATTTTTTGAATATATTTCGGTAAAAACGATAAATTTAATTGCAATTGGGTACAACTCGGCGTCTGTGATTTACAAAATAAATGAAAAATTTAAAAATAGTAATGATTATGATACTATTAATAACAATAACTTAATGTTTTACAGAAGAGCCCTACACACTACGGTCATTACACTGTACTGCCCTGCCCTAGCCTATGTTTCAACATTTCTCAACTCCTCTACGAACTCTCCTCTATGAACACTACGACACTACATTGCTTTCCTTTTAAATTACCTTTTGTAAGATTCTCAGTTGTTTTAATTTTTTGTACTAAACTAATTTCAATTTGTACATGTATTTGTAAATATTTGTAAATGTTCTATTAATTTATTGACTACAGACCCTAAAAACAAGTAACGACCGATAATCATATCGGTTTATGTTGCTAATAACAGCATTAATTGGTATATGTTTAGTTTATTTTACAGATCTCAGAATGTTACAAACGTCTGAGACGTGTAATGTGCTTAGAAATGAACAAAAAAACGTAGGAAATTTTGCACAAACATGTAACATTTTAACCTGCTTGTTATGCAACGCCGAATGCTCATCTATTTGGCAGATCCATGAAAGATCCTCGTAAGCATAAAAAAAGGCATCTTCCTCATCGGGCCACCGCCTCAGCAGGACACGCCCTCATCTCCCGAGTGATCTTCCAACAAGTGTGAAAATGTAGCGCAGCGGTCACCTTTCTTCTTACTCATTAACTGTTTAAAATACACTGAAGAGGCAAAACAACCGGTACAACCATGCGTATTGAAGTAGAGAGATCTGGAATCAATCAGAATACAGCGATCCTGTCGGCAACGACTATACAAGTCTGGCACAGTTGTTAGATCGGTTACTGCTGCTACAATGGCAGGTTATCACGATTTAAGTGAATTCGAACGTGATGTTCTAGTCGGCGCAAGAGAGATGTGGTTTAGCATCTCCGAAGTCGCGATGGAATTCGAATTTTAACATATGGCCATTTCACGAATGTACCGTTAATATCGGGAATCCGGTTAAACATCAAACTTCCGACATCGCTGCGGCGGCAAAAATATCGTGTAAGAACGGGACTGAAGAGAATCACCGATCAGGAGACCGACGACTGAGGAGAATCATTCCACGCGATAGAAATGCAACCCTTCCGCAAATTGCTGCAAATTACAATGTTGGGCCATCAACAAAAGTCAGCTTGCGAACCATTCATCAAGACAATATCGTTATGGGGTTTTGGAGTCGAAAGCCCACTCGATGACTGCCCGACACAAAGCTTAACGCGTCACCTGGCCCCGTCAATAGCGACTGTTGATGACTGGAAACGCGTTGATTGGTCTGACGAGTCTAGTTTCACATTGTTTCGAGCGAATGGACGTGTACGAGTTTGGCGCCAACCTCATGAATCGATGAATCCTGCATGTCAACATGAAACTGTTCAAGCTGGCGGAGGCTCTGTGATGGTATGAGGCGTGTGCAGTTGACGTGATTTGGGACTCCTGATACGTCTAGATACGACTCTGACAGGTGACACGTACGTCAGCATCCTGTCTGATCCCCTGCACCCATTCATGTCCATTGTGCATCTAGACGAACTTCGGTATTCAGCAGGACTCTGCGACATCTCACACGTCCAGAATTGCTTCAGAGTAGCTCCAGGAACTATTTTTTGAATTTAAACACTTTCAGTAGCCACAAACATCCCTAGACATGAACATTATTGAGCATATCCAACGTGCTGCTCAGAAGAGATCTCCACCAAGTCGTACTCTTACGAGTTTATGCACAGCCCTGCAAGATTCATGGTGTCAATTACGTCCAGCACAACTTCAGATATGAGTCGAGTCCATGTCACGTCGTGTTACAGTTACACTTCTGCGTGCTCACGGGGGCCCTACACGAATTTAGGCAGATGTACCAGTTTTTTGGCTCGTCAGTGTATTTACAAATTTAAAATCCACATCGAAACAAACCTAATTAGCAACCACCAGTTACTAAAAAAATAAATTTGCTAATTAAAAACTTCAAAATAAGGCCTGCCATACAGAGCATAGCAACGAAGACAAAGCGTGCCGGTCAGCAATATGCCACGTAGGGTACGGGTGTCCTAAGTGTCATTGGCTCAGCAAATTTACTAGGTTTCAATATGTCGGACAACATGACCTGACGCGCGGAATGCACGGGAAGTTTCCATTCTGTACGGTACCTACTCTGCGGTAGGTAACGGGACAATGACGCAAACCTAGACAAGAAATGGGAAGGCAGTGGAGGTAGAGGCGATAGCAGAATGCAAGCCTTAGAAATAAACTTGAACCGCCAAAATTCTTTGTGGGTACTACAGCAAATTTCTCTAAAGTGATTTCATTGCTTGGATTGTATGATTCCAGGCGCGTCATCTGTTCAAATAATAAGTCAAGTAAGTGCAGTGGTTTGTTTTTTTTGTCGCGGAAGTCTGTGGTGATCTTCCCTAGTTGGATAACGAGATCCGGTGAAGACCTACACTCCCACTTGCGAGTTCTTCCCCAACAAGGTATCTCCCACCAGTAGGTCACCACCCCAGCCGGAACACACTCTAAGATCACGACTGGGCCCCTGGCATGTGTGGTAGTGTAGTGCACGGCAGTGTAAGAGTGTGTAAGTAAGGGGTGAGGACAGGACTGAGAAGAGCAAGTGAAGATCGTGCGCTGTCCATGGCACGTTTGTTAGGGTACTTCCCTGGCATTCGCCTGGAGTTTGTCAGACAAACCATGTAAAACTACCAATCAGAGCAGCCGGCCACTAGAATTCCCCTACCAACCGAAGCTGAAAACGACCAAGCAATGCAGCTAGAGTCGGAATTCCTACTACTGCTGGACCCGAACCGTAGGACCTCCCGTTCAGAGGCACGGCAATGGCATCAATTGTTCTGAGCCGCTTTAATCGGTACGTCACATAGAGATTATGAATGTTAAATGATATTATTTTATATTTATAAACTAAATAAATGTAAGTAAATCACAACACAAGGTATTTCACAAGCCTTGGAGAAGAAAATGTTGTAGAGCATAGTAAAAGTGTAAAAGAATTGCACAAAATATTGCGACAAATGTGTCCATCATTTGTTCAGCTTGATCCATAAGGTTCAAGGTTCAATTCTGGAATACTCAGCAATTTTATACTTGATTCTGAAAAATACTTCTAGTATTTTCGAATAAAAAGGCGTGTCGCACACTCATTCAAGTAATAATTTTGAGGAATATAAAAATTCCAGTAAAATTATTTAATAAAATAAAAACCTGTAAGATGCAGTTACGTTTGATATTTTTTTCGAAACGATTAAAATTATTTCCTCAGAAGGTAAAATTATACGGATATGTAAGAATTTCAAATTAAACCAAAGAAAGTTGAAATAGGAGAAATGTTTTTAAAGAAGGGAACAACAAAAAAAGTTTATCCATCTGAAATGGTACGTAGGAAGTTTATTTGATAAAAAAATTGTCAACAGAATATCGATCTGTCGATATTTCACGATTAATCTGATGTAAAAACAGAATATCATCAAAATTTCTGGAAATGTAACTTACCGCGCTCACAGGGGTAGCTGGATAATATTCAGACACTACCTGAAAAACAGCAAATATTTTGTTAGTTACGCAGACACTTGAAAGTATATTTAGCAAATTCTTCATTTGTAATATTATTTAATTCACATTGTTCTTAAAAAATAGCCTTAACCAATGAAAAATATAACACAAAAGAGATTAAAAAGTACCCTTGCAGTACAATACATTTTACATAGTTTCATGAAATTTTGTACAAGTCACCTTCAAAACAAATATAGGTTACTCTCTACATGCGATGCCGTTAAACTTACCGATTCCTCTTTCCTACTCGTTAAAGCAAAATTTAAGTGCATCTCTTTCAATCGTCCACGAATATCTTGAGAACCGAAATAAATCACATATTTTTGAATGCCCATAAAATACCCCAAATATATGGACTTTGTTATACTCCAATTACGCAATTTAAGATGAATTAAAAATTTTAAAATTAAAAATTATAACTTGTTTATTGAAGGTCAATTTTGTAATTGCATGGTTTATTTCAGAAACAGCATAAGTCAATGTTATGCTACTTTTCTTCTTAGTGTAGTCACATTCGCTGTAAGTATATGCCTTGTTTGAGGCAGATCTAGCACAAGTGGAACGATTCTGGAGTACTGGGCTGCGAATACTCGTAAGATAAGTTGGGAGAGCAATTAGTAGAACCTGCAACGAAACATCGCATCTTCTATCGACAGTTTTTCATCAGACAAGAGTGTTCTGGAAAACAAACGACACATAGTTGACAAAGATTGTTACTTGAAGAAAGAATCAACGAGTATTGAAAATATTATCACAGTCACCTCTGTCCACACGAAATCAAACGTTTCTTTACAATTTCGTCGATTTTACTTCAGGTACGACTGCATTCAATGCCTCTGATGAAAATGCGAGGGTAGTGATGCGTCATGGCGTCTGCGGTGGAAATCGCTGGGTCTGCCCGGGAGCTGATGCGATCGTTTGGTGACGCTCCGAACAAGAAACAGTCGACAATCTACGTCAAGGAACTTTGTACGAAAGATATGTATATGGTCTATCGGGAAGAAATTCGCGCGGCTTTTTTTTTTTTTTTATTAAATAAGGCCACCTTCCACGCGGTCAGTTTGAAAGTATGATCCTTTCCTCAGAAACGCCTTCAAAGAACATCAAAAGTGCTTTATTCGAAACGATGCGCGAAATTTGAAACAATTTGGCGGTCAATGTGCCAACAGAGCTCCTGAAAACTTGACTCGTTTGTCGAAACTGAAAATTAACTTTTCACTTACTAATGTTTCTGGAATAAACCATTCGACTGAATGTTTGCAGGGAATATGAAACATTGCATCTGATAATAGTTCTTCGCAGCAACGATGACTGTAGAAAACTGGTCGAGTAGGGCTGGGGGAGTCAGGGCAGGCAGGTAGGACAGTGTAGAGGGGGGCAGGGAAACTCTACTACAGATACATTTTTTTAACTATTATCTACATTACGTGATTGTACAACTACATTCACGTGATTGTACTTTTTAAGTCATCAATATTCGAAATATGAAATAATTTAAATATCGCTACATAAATTTATTAAAATTGAGGTAGATTATCTACCTCGGTCGAAAAGTTATAGTTTTTGGAGCCATTTACCACCTTCGCATTCATGGTAATGTCACTTCCGAAAAACCGTTTCCTTTTGGCCTCGATCCGAATATAAATATAGAGAATGTTCCATTGAAAATTGGTTGTGGCAATATATCGAAACGTGTGTGTATATATATATATATATATATATATATATATATATATATATATATATAATATATATATATATAATATATAAATATATAAATATATAATATATAAATATATATCTATATATAATATATAAATATATAAATATATAAAATAATATAGTGAAAAGATTCATATTCATCAGGTAAAAACTATGTAACTATTAAATTTACCGTTTTTTCCTACCGTAATAAATGGCGCATTTTTTCAAAAGTAAAAAAAAGCAAAAAACGTTAAAAACCGAGCTTTCTCGACAAATACACATCAGATCGAAAAATAAAAAATATACATGTTCAATAATTTGCAAAACGTTACTCCAATGATACCAAACGTTGCAGTGTGGTTATCAAAAAGTTAAAATAAATACTTTTAGCTTGACTCGGAAAAACATAGCATGAAATATCAATTCTTTCTGCAATTGTCAACATTTTAGATTTTTATGTAATATGTTTCTAGTTCGAATTACAATAGTAAAGTGACAACTGAGCACGCTGTACTACTTTTTTATAAAACTATGTAGTTCATCTGTAGGCCAGAGTAGCGCTACTGTCGGCTCTTCTCATTCTTCTATCCTGGAAAGAGAAAGAGCAGTTGTTCTTTGGAAGAAAAATACATTTATTTTGATATGTAATCGTCAAGAAATAAACCTTTTTGCTTATTTGATTTTTGTCGATTACATTTGCTATCACGAAACTGAAAAAAAATATTAGATACAAAAGTTAGGTATCATTGGATATATCATACAGTTTTTAGGAGAATCCAAAATCAGCAATAGAAAATTGGGGTTCCCATTTAACTTCTTTTTATTTTTCCCGACTCACACCCCGAAGGGTACGGAGTGAGGCTCAAGTTAGGTAACATTGGATGACCCCATCCATACGAACAATTTTCATTACTCACTTTACGTGATTCAATTCACACTTTTCGAGACACTCTCAAATTAATTTTAAATAAAACTCTCTGTATTTTAAATAAAACACACGACAAAAAGTCGTTATATTACATGAAAAATAATTTATGTAACTATAGACAAATCTCTAATTTTTATTAAACCTACCTCTTCTGGATGGGTATGAGGAATCTGTAGATGAATCTGAAGAATCAGCAGGACGACATGCTGGCTACATTGGATATAAAAAGAAGACAAATAAGATTTTGTTGTAGCAGTTGCAAGTCATTACAATTTTAATTTTTACGTAATGAAGCACTGCTCATATTTTACCAGAGAAAACATTTTCATTTAATGCAGCAGATGAGTGAACTTGCAAGTTTATGGTAAGTGATGTACAATATGTATTTTCGATAATGGGATAAAACTCTGTGAACCAATAACATCTACAAGGCTGCTTAGTGACTCATTATATTCATTAATTGAAATGATATCGATAAATACCTTCTATAAATGGTTTGCATTTACGCAAGAAAATGTTAACATGAGTGATATTGTAATACACAATTTTTTGATAATATATTCGGGCAACTTTCTATGAACGATACCTTGATCCCCCTCCCTTGTGCAATAAACGTTGAAGGCAAAACTCGCAGCGGGCACTGATGACAACCTTCCAAGCGTAAAAACTTCGTTGGCGCGAAACAGAATCTAGTCAAAGCCAGTTGCTTTCATAGCGCAGAACCCTATCAGGTTAATTTTCAATATCGAATAAATGCTGAGTCAGGTCAGGTCCTTCAAGGAGTCACCTAAAAACCCCGAAGGTTAAGAGACATATCATAGCGGCGAAACGCAAACATGACTTGAAAAAAGTGGATGCATGCATGTAAATGAAAAGGGGAACAAGCTTTGTTTGCATCCTCTGAGTCATGCTATAGATCGGGCTTCTTCGTATACTGAGCTAGTGTTTCCACTTATACGTAGAAATTTAAAAAGCCAATGACCCTTCACAATCCCATTAAACGCCCGTAAAAAAAAGGTAACATTCAGAAATCATTATCATACTCTCTGTAATTATATTTTTAATACTATTTCCATTATACTTTACACGGTCTCAAATGAAAGGCTATGATTATATTGATACTCTTAAACGAAACCCGTAAAAATATAGGTTTGCCTTGTTAAGTTCCTCTTTAGACATCAAACAAATTTAATAAACGAAAAGTATTACTAATAAAATAATTGTCACTAGAGGCCAAATACAACCAACGCCAAGTCATGCGCTTCAAGAAGTCAAGAGAAGTTAACCAAGCATGTATTAAAAAAGTGAGGCAGTAATTTTAAATACAAATTCTGACAGAACTATTTCTATTAAAGATGTACTGAGCAGCAAAAATCAATAAGCTAAAAGGAAAAAGTTCGCGAATACTTAAAGAACTAAATCTTAATAAATCATATTTTCTGAACTGAATATTACTTACTACAATTCAGTCAATGAATAATTGTTATTGAGTATTATTTTTAGTAATTTATATGACGCATAATATAAGATAATAGAAAACAGAAACAGTATTAATGCATTTATTATTTCTTTAATTTAATGTTGAATCTCTTCTAAATGACTTGACATCGAACCCTTACCCTCCATAATCCGTAGTTGCTGTTTAGCCGTATCCACTCCCCATTAAAAACCAGATGCATGGTATATAATTACAATAACACTTTAATCTCATGACTATAATCTAATGTTTTAACATTTCCTTTAGCTATTAATTCAACTTTGCCTTTATGACTTCAAAATGATTTCTAGTCCTTTATTTTCTGAGTCAGCAAAATCACGAACATCTTCATTTTGAAACCCTGCTAGCAAATAAACTTGTGCATCTATAGCACTAAAAACCATCCCGAATTCTTCCCTTTAATTTTCTTGTTCAGACAACTAACTAGTCGCTTTAACACCAAAATCTAATTAACTGTATGATATTATAAATCAACCATTCATTCTAAAATTTGAAAAAATTGTTGAAAAGATGTAAAGGAAAATATAGATATATTTCAATTATAATAAATTGGACACCTATGTAATTATTAAATTAAGGCATCCTATCTTAAAATATAATAAAATGGAATTTTGATGTAATTGCGTCTCATTTTTGCTAATTTTTGAAATATTCCATAATATACATATTATTTAATGCTCATCTTTTCTTTTTACATTAGAACAAGAAACAAAGTAAGGTTGCTGATTTGATGATTTGACAAGAGAGTTATTCGAGATACAATACAGCATTTTTATTTCAGTACAAACATTTCCATCTTTTAGATAAAACTTCTGACCTTTTGCAGAAAAGATTAATGGAAATGGGGCGAAAAAACCTCTCTTAGAAAAACATTGCACAGCACTGGGTTTTTTTGCGAAAAGAGTTCAAAATAGAGAACTTTGCTTCGGAGAGAGCCGATATTGTGGATTGGCGAACTCGTTCATTGTACAAATGAAACATTTCGAGAGAATGAAACAGAAATTTTTTTCTACCTATGACGAATCATGAGATCGACAGCCAATTCTTACTGTGGGAAAAAATGCTGGCAGAAGAAAAGATGTTATTGTGTCACTTGATTGGGAAGTACATCTAAAAGATTTATTTTGTCTAGTATGGTTCCAAAATGGATTCATTGAGGAGGCCTCAATTAATAGTTAAAGCCAAATTCAACAACTGGGATTTCATGGTCAGATGAACTCAGAAAATTGAAAGATGGTTTTTGTACAAAAATACTGACCAATCTGCCTCCTGAATCAGTAAATAATGCTGGACAATGCATTCGTATCACAGTAGACAGGTAGAAAAACCCCATGCAATATGACACCAAAAAACCCATGGTTCAGGTGGTTAGAAAATAAAGGCATTTCATGTGGATATGTCCATGAGAAAAGGAAAAAGAAGCACTATGAAAAAAAAATTAAGGAAATAAGCGTCTTGCTCATAAGACATATTGTTGTTAATTTACAATTGCAGCCAAAAAAAGCCACACAGTAAATTCGTCTGCCCCCATATCATTTGTGATTTGAACCCCCATAGACTTCATGCTAAAATCAAAAGAAATGTCCAGAGAGCAGAACTTCAGAGATATGTCGGAGAAAAATTGGCTTAAGCTCACTAAATCAGCTTTTGCACAAATCACCATCAGGGATGGAAGGTTATTGTAGACATGTGCAAAAAACCTTGAGGTGGAATATTGACTAAGGATGCGCCATTTTAGAAATGTTATTGATGACATTATTAATTAACACCCTCACGCTCCAGTGATAGAGTGAAGATCACAGTCATCAGAAAACTCTGATTTCTGTTAATTTGACCAGTTACCGATTACGACACCAAACCCGGACTTGACATTTTAACTTCACTAACTTGCTCTCAACGGTAGGTGGTTGGGAGGGCAAGTTGGGAACTCGATGTGTAACACCTTCCACGTGGTGAGTTCTGGGTAATTTCGACAAAATGATTGTCAAAATTAGCGAAGACTCTACACTATCTGACTGCTTAAATACATTTTTCATTCATCTAGTTGTCCTGCTGTTGTCTTCCCAGACGATGACCTGCCGCACAAGATGCAGGTGGACTTCATTTTACAGACGTTGCGCATTACTAAAAACTCTAGGGCCGGACTTCGGTAACTAATAACCCCCACTCCTCCGAATCGTCAATCCATCGTTCAAGAAAAGTTGCCCGAATATTACGAATCACAGCCGAATTTAAATTATGAATACCAAACTAACTAGTATTATATTTTTTACAATGACATTTTATTATATACCAGGATCTGTTATTTTAATTGCACAAAAGTAGTTTAATGGTATTTTTTGAATCCACTGACTCTTTCATTTTTGAAATAATTAATCTGTTATAGTGCTGTGCGAGTTTGCAGTTGAAAACTGCTAGAGCCGCGGAAAGAAGTTGATTTAATTTGATTACTTTCATTAAAAAGTAGTAAAATAACGTATGAGACGTAAAAGGGGACGTGTTGCTGAAACACAGTTAACACTATCAACTATCACTATCACTACACTATTCACTAATTACCATTTACCATTCATATTATTATCATTATTATCATTATTATCATTAATTATCATTATTATCATTATTATCATTATTTTCATTATATCATTGATTATCATATTATCATTATTATTCATTATTATTATACAGGTCTACTAACCACCGCTACACGATTACGTGTGTAATTCTTCCAGGATCAGCTTATTCAGCTGCTTATCCTTGGATTGACCAAGTGTTACGCCTTGAAGGTGATTATTATTAATGGATTAGGGAGGGGTGATAGGTATTAGTGAAAGTGATCGTGGATCTTTTTAAACCATCCCAGCATTCGCCTTATACCGAGGGAAACCACGAAAACCTCGTCAGGATGGCCGCCTCGAGATGAACCCGGACTCCCGTTACGAAGTCAGCAAGCTACTCACTGTTCACTTCGCTCGTATTATTAATTTTTATTATTTTTATTATTTTTATTATTATTATTATTATTATTATTATTATTATTATTATATTATTATTATTTTTATTATATTATTATTTTTATTATATTATTATTATTATTATTATTATCTGCATATCCGCCATTTCTGATCACGCTAACGCGTTCTCTTCCGAGGTCAAGTCGTATTCTACCCCTTTGGTAACACAAGGTTGTGAAGTCACGAATTCTGAATTATGAGGTGATAGGATGATGATGATGATGATGATGATGAGAGGTATTCGTGGCCTTTTTTAACTATCCCAGTATTCACCTGTATGACCGAGGGAAACCACGAAAACCCCGATCAGAATGGCCAGCCCGGGAATTGAAAACGGGCCTCCCGATTGCGACGACAGCGCACTGCGCCCCGAGCCACTTCTGCTATTGTTATTCTTACTACTATTATTATTGACATTATTAATATTACTGGTAATGTTATTATTGTTATTATTATTGATATTATTGTGTTGACCAATAAATAAGCAACTTTTTTCTACTTAATAAAGAGATAATAAAAAAATCAATGAAGTATCTAACCAATATCAACATTGAATGCTCACTACTGTATTAAAAACGGAGTTTAGAAATTAATATTTCGACGTGAAATGTCAAAAATAACCGTAATGCTTTGCGTTTACTTACCACCGGTGTAAAAGGTCGACGGTTGGGTGTCTGGTAGTTTCTGCATCCGCAACTGCAGCTGGAACAGCAATCCTGAAGCACGAAAACCAATTGGTTATTGGTAGACCTACGGTAAGCATTTCTTAAGTCACATTTCTTTAATTGAATCACTGACAGTTTGTTTCGCGAGCTCTGTGAGTAGCTGAAATGCTCTTAAATGAATGTGACATGTGAGTGGAAAAACTGAATGAATGATTGATTACTGCATGCTTCCGGTCGCGTCAACTTCTACAGTCATTAGTCTTGGAAATTGAATAGTGCACGTTTTGATCACGGGATGCGAGTGTGTTATCTCCCGCTAGATGGAGAACATCCGGTGCCGAATACGCGGGACTTTCCTCATCCAGGCATCTCCAACCAGCCGAACACTGCCGCAGCCGGGACGAGCACTGGTCTCTCGACAGGGCTCTCGACAAATGCAGTGCAGTGCATGTGAGTGTAAATGTAAGGGTGTGAGCATAGGACAAAGACGAGGAAGGAAAAATCGCGCGCGGCCCGTGGCCCGTTTGTTAAGGTACTGCTCCGGTATTCGCCTGGTGTTGATCGGTGAAACCACGGGAAATTAACGATCTGAGCAACCGGCCTCTAGAATTCTCCTCCACGCAGCAGCTGAGCCCGGCATAGCTATTTAGCTAGTGTCGGAAATTCTGCCACCGTCGGGGCTAGAACACTAGGACCTTCCGATCAGAGGCACTGAATTGCCATCACTTGGCGCCCCGAGTCTCCTCAACTGGCAGAAAATCTGAAACTTTCAAATGTTGATTTTCGCCTACTCAAATCGTAACGTAAATTAGGTTCCGTCATTTACTTGTAAAGGTAAATTATATTTTGTATACGTATCCGTAAACCACCACTAATGTACATCATCACACACAAAGTACACTATTAAGTCAAATGTAAGTCGTAACGTAACTTTTAACATAACGAAATATGACCTCAAATGTAACGAATAACATAACTATATTCACTGAAGATTGTCACTTGAAGTGATCAACCCAGTGGCATTGATGTATTATTAGTATTTTAACATACCTTTGAGCATGCTGAATTTGGTCTTCTATTACCTGCCCCACCACAAAGCCCAAGACCTCGGTTCGGCGGCTCTCTGGGGGAGAAATGTAATATTCATATAATAATAATAATAATAATAATAATAATAATAATAATAATTAGCATATTTATCTCATTAACAGTAAATACCCTTGACGTGATACATATGAAGAGAAAATAAGGAAAGTAGAAGAAGAGACGTCCACTAAACTTGAAATTAGCAGAAATTATACCAAGGTTCTACATGACCAGTAACACATTAAAGCAAGCCACAAACGAGAAAAAAAATAATCTCATTGTAGTGAAAAATATTGTATTATCTGGAATGGAAATAGAGGCTTTAACAACGTTTCACTTTATGAGATTACTGCAAACAACAAAGCTAGACAATATAAGTATTATGGGATTCAGCTGGGAACAGAACAACCACATCCAGAAAATTCGCAAATAAATGTTACGAGCATGTCCAGAGGGCGCAGGATGAGAATGGCATAAAAAAAGAAGTTTTAATTAAATTCACGACTGAATGATTGTTTTGTGTTTCCGGGAGTGCCGATTGCTATCCTCCTCAGTCCCGTAAGTGTGGTGCAAGTTATTTTGCTCGGGAGGTGGCGGTGGTCTTCTTCCGCTGGATTGCGGGGATTTTCCCCAACCAGCTCTCTCCCTCCCGCGCAGCTCCTGAACGCTCTCGCGACAAATGCGGCAGTATAGTGCGAGTGAGTGTGTTTGTGCAAGTAACGGGTGGATGATACATGGGAGGGGGGAAGGAAAGATCGCGCGTGGTCCAAGTCCCATTTGTTAATGTACTGCTCCGGCATTCGCTTGGCGTTGATCGGAGAAGCCACGGGAAATTAACGATCTGAGCAGCCGACCGCTAGTATTGTCCTACAGACCGCAGCTGAAGACGACCTAACTGACAAGCCAATCCTCCTACATCGAAGGGGCTCGATCCTTAGGACTTCCCGGTGCAATGACATCACATAATGTTCAGTGCCACTTTTGCCTATAAGTGCTGCTTCGGAATGCCTGATATCGTAATTTTCTTCCACGGGGATGTATTTGTTTATTTATTTACGTCAAAAACAGTTAAAAACAGTGTGCTATGAGGAGAAGTTAATTTCAAGTTACATTTGTGTACCCTTCTGTACAAATCAGTACCCTTTATTTCAACAGATACAACAGAGTTGTAGAGAGATAAAGAAAAAATCACTTCTGAAAATTAGCCTCCTTGGCGAAGTGTAGTGTTTCCAACCATCTTCAATTTGAGAAAATATATTTCATTGTTAGGACTAGTCATCCCGTTATCCATTTATGAAGCCCTCCTTTCTCTTACAAATGAATATACTATAAATGTTTTTCAAAAATGCTCCCGTATATCACAAGCATTTAGTGGATAATGATACGAAATGTTTAATGTCACAATTATAAAATGTTCAGAGAAAATTATAAATTATATTTGTTTTAATTGGTATTATAAAATCTACATACTAATACTTCACATCACTTGTGTTTTTACTGAAAGTGAATTGAAAGAAGTCAATCGAATGTACTGAATTAATTACAAAATAGAACATACAAAAAAATGTTACAACTGTGAGATGAACGTACGTGTTGCAATATGCTTTGTACAGATACCCCACTGTGTTTGCAATTATGCTTTCAATCAATTTTCGAACGCGGAAGCTAATTTCGGAATCTCGCCCTGCTGACACCCCACAACTTAGTCGTTAACTTTAGACCAATAAATGGCAAATAACCACCTAGTCTGTTATTGGCGGGATCGATCGTATGTATGTCATTCAATACCACTGCCTTAAAATAAAAACAATATAAATAAATATTTCTTCTTGGTACAAGTAAACACATACATATTTTATTTACAAGTCGTTTGTTACGATTATTCCAAACTGACGGTGGACTATTAAATCGTCAACAGGCACCGAATCTTTAGAATGACTTTTCATTCCTCGCGGTGCTTCAAATGAGCATAATTTTTCCCAACCGGAAATTAGCAACCAGAGCATAGCTTCGACTAGGCTAACACAAAATCCGAAAACTAATTTGATTTGTACAAGCATGCAGCAAAACTAGATTGTACTTTGCATGACATACCAGTTCTCAATTGGAAGGTGAAATTTCGTTTTGATGAAGTCCTTACCTCGCCATATATAAAGGAGCGGATGCATGTCTGTCAGGAAACCTGTGAGAGAAATAAACATTTCTAAATATAAGCATTTTTAAAAGACAATAATAAACAATCGTTAAAGACAATTTAAAAAAACTTGGGAAAACGGGTGGAAATTATAAGAGTTGAAAGTATGTAATCTTTTACAGTTTGCAACTTACATTCAGCTCAATAAAAATCGAAACTGCTTATATTAATAATAATAACTTGACTACGATCTAAAATATACGTATTTATTTTATTCCAATAATAAACTATTATTAGTTGCTACACATGGTTCGCACCAGGAATTTTGTTCAAAGTTCTCTAACGAGGGTTCTTGAAATATACATTTTGATAGGTACATTCTTGAATGTACACTACTCTGACATCTTTTAAGTGTCAGGCAAGGTCTAGGTAGGTCACTTCTCAAGACTCGACAGAAATACGGGAAACTACCATACATCACCTATTTATAGATTCGGCTAACATTATGTTTATAACATTTTACAATGAAAATCTTGGGAACAAGTATTTTTTGCGCTAATCTTTAAGGACAGATTATATCACAGTACAAGCTACAATGCAAGAAAAAAAACAATAATGTTTTCGTTATTGCTAGGTTTTTGTTACAAAGAAATTCGTTGGAGAATATTAATCCTTTATTTTCTTTTCAACACGGCTGGAGTCACATCAACTAAGTGAAATTTAAAACATCCTCTTCTAAAGTGTCCCGTTATCGCCTACTACTTTATCAATTTCAACTAGTAGTTTAAGTCGATCTATAGGAAACAGATCAATTTTGTTAGTTTATTATGAATCGATGTTCAAATTATCGACTAATACACGAGTATAGAATACATTACGACAAGAATGAAGATAAAGTGAGTGTCGTAAACTTAATATAAATGCATAAATATACATTCCATCGTATTAAAATAATAATCATCAAAGGCCGGTCTTTAGACTGAGTTGATAACCAATTGAGTAATTATTAACATGTTAACATAAGATACCCTACGTATTATGCACTTAGTAAACATTCTAATGAATTTTATTTTTCGTTTATATTTATTTAGAATATTCGTCTTAAGAAATGTGACAGGCTGATGTTCACAGAAGTTAACAGAAGTAATATAACTTACGTTAGAAGTAATATAATTTGTTGTTTGTGTAATATAATAATGTTTACATTAGTTTGGTTGTGGTTAAGCTTAAAATGTAGGGTTCCCTAAACTTAAGTTGCTTAATTCTATGCTTGTTATTATTTCCAATTTATATGCAATCATTTAAATGCAGGACGTCACGGATTTTTGCAACACTCGTGTCAACCTGCGCCCAGGAGGCCCCCGCCCCCGGGGACTAAATTTATTAGAATGTTTACTAAGTGCAGAATACGAAGGGGATCGTATTAATCTTCTTACTCTGATACTGATATCAGTTTCATAATGTTTGACATTAGACAATCAAAGGGTATTCTTAACCATTATCGTCAAATTCAGTTCAGTTCAATTCAATTCAATAACGCCTTAATTTAAGCGGCGAGGCTCAAGCCATCAGGTTTGCTCTTCCACTTGACCACGCAAATTGCTCATTTCCTTATCTAGCAGCGAAAAAAGGTATCACTCGGGCGAGAACACGTGCCATTAGAATCTATCTCAGAGAGTTCTTTTAAGCATGGAGATATTTTACCTGCAGTAAACCTACAACAATGGACAGCCGGCTTTACTTCCCTTCCGAAGGAAATTTTCTCCCCTTAAAAACCCACAGCTTCATACCCGCGAAAATGATAATAACACAGCATCACGCTAACCGTTAGTCACCGAAGACGCATTGACGTGTTTTTGCGTGGTTCAGCCATACAGAAACGTCCGCCTCCTCCTCCTCCTCCTAACCCCCAAGGGCCCGCGGCGCCCGTACCTGGGCGCGGTGCGCACCTGGTAGTGTGCGCAGGAGCCGGCAGGGACGCCGGGGGTGGAGGTGGTGGCGGCGGTGGGCGGGGGCGGGGGCCTCCTGCGCGCGGGCAGCGGGGGCGCGCCCGTCAGCGACCCCGGGGGCCGCACGCGCGGCGCGAAGCGGCACTGCCCGGGGGGCGGCGGCGAGGGCGACGGCGGGAGCAGAGGGCCCGGCGAAGACCTGCCACGCCCACCCACGCGTTCACGCAACCGACAGAGCGACGGACGAATAGAAACGAAGTGAGTGCATGGGTGGGTGGGGAATGGATGGATTAATTATAAGTTAATAAACGGGTGAATGAGTTAATGAATAAATAAAAGGCCGAATGAATGAGTGATGAACGCTTGGAAGGTCAAATTAAAAAGGTTAGGAATGGATGAGTGTATGACGCATTGGATGGGTGAATAATGAATGAAGGTATGTACGAACGAGTGAATAATGATTTAATGGCTTGATGCCGAATAAATGAATAAATGCAATAAAGTAACTATGAGTAAAAGAGTGAATCAGTGAATGGCTTAATGGATGGGAGAACAAGTTGTTGGATGGAACAATGAATGAATGAAAGAATGGAGAGATGGACGAATGAGTGAATTCTGAATTAATGGATGGATGCACTAGTGATTGATTGAACGCTACTAAATCGATGAGTGAATTAATGAGTGACTGGCTAGTGGGTGGATGAGTTGTTGGATGGAAGAATGAATGAATAAAGAATGGATGATGAATGAACGATGATGAATGACGATGAATGGAGATGAATGTACGACGATAAATGAATGATGATGAACGAACCATGTATGAATGATTAATGAATGACTATGAATGAATGAATAATTAATGAACATGAATGAATAATGAATGATGATGAATGAAGATGAATGAATGATGAATGAATAATTAATGATGATGAATGAAGATGAATGAATGATGAATGAAGATGAATGAATGATGAATGAATAATGAATGATGAATGAATAATGAATGATGAATGAATAATGAATGATGAATGAATAATGAATGAAGATGAATGAATGATGAATGGATGATAATGAATTAATGACGATGGATAAATGATGGATGAATGATGATGAATGGCAATGAATGAACAGTGACGAACGACTGAGCGGACGAGTGCGCGGGACGCACCGCGCGGGAGGCAGCTGCTGCGAGGGCGACGCCGCGGGCGAGTAGCGGCCGCGCGTGAAGGCCGCCCGCGGCGGGGCGCCCGACGTGGGGCCGAGGCCGACGAACAGCTCGGCGCCTGGACAGGCGCCTGGGCCCGGGCCGGGGCCTGGACCGGGGCCTGGGCCTGGGCCTGAGCCTGGGCTCGGGCTTGGGTCTGGACACGGGCCTGAGCCTGGGCCTGCCTCGGACGCGGAGGACGGCACGCGGTCCACGCGGATGTGGATGAAGCGCGGAATCTCGCCCTGCTGACACCCCACAACTTAGTCGTTAACTTTAAACCAATAAACGGCAAATAACCACCTAGTCTGTTATTGGCGGGATCGATCGTATGTCGTTCAATACCACTGCCTTAAAATAAAAACAATATAAATAAATATTTCTTCTTGGTACAAGTAAACACATACATATTTTATTTACAACTCGTTTGTTACGATTATTCCAAACGGACGGTGGACTACTAAATCGTCAACAGGCACCGAATCTTTAGAATGACTTTTCATTCCTCGCGGTGCTTCAAATGAGCATAAAAGTAAAGTATTATGAGTGTACATTAAAGGAAAATAATCAGGATTTCAACGAAAATTAATCCCGCGCCATTTTTAAGAGATTTTTAAGCTATAGAAGGCCAAACTTTAATAAAAAAAAATGCTATCGTTTTTGGGAAAATTTAGAAACATTTGTAGAGGCTTCTTGTAAAGTAACCCCCAAAATCAAAATAATCATTTAAAATTAACAGGGCCTAGAGATCGTTTGGATTGGTTAAGGAATACCAATTTCAGGGGGAAAATCGTCCGAACGATTTTGACGCTAGAGTTGACCACAGACATGAACAAAAAGACGGACGTTTTTTTGAGTCAATCAATTTTTCACAATCAAAGACCCACAAAACATGGATTGTGGTTACACAACGTGTTAGAGGAAGCGAATTTATTACATATTGCTACAAGATTTATCAACTTTTTTGTAACTGCAGCCCGGCATGAAGAGATTTTCTGTTAAATTCGTGTTTTTTCGGCACACTATACTTTATCTTCTTACGAAGTAAAGGCGAGGAAGTAAATATCAAAATTCCGTTCGCCGTTTGCATGCTTTACAATGTCTAACGTCAGCTTGCCATTGAAACGTCCCCTTGAGCTTGAAACTGCCCTCGCCAACCCACCTGCTCTGGCTTGAGCGGTGTACAAAATTGCAGGGTCGCTGGCGCTCTAGGGCACGGAAAAGGGCTGGCCGTTTCCAGGGACGGCGTCCGCATGAAAGGGCCTGGAGCGGACCTGAAAGGAAAAATCTGGGATAGCTCCACAACTTGGACAATACTAGGGAGAATGCGGATCTTACTTTTCTAGAATTTTCCTTCGTCATCCCCTTCTCGCCCTCTCTTCGCGTTCCCCTTCCCGTGTTCGTCTTCGCGTTCCTCCCTCCTTTCCGTCCTCGCCTTTGCGGTCCCGTACCCGCCATCCCTACGCGTTTCCCATCCCGTCCTCGCCTCCACATTCTCCTTCCCGTACTCGCCTCCACCTTCATCTGCCCCTTCCCATACTCGCCTCCACCTTCATCTGCCCCTTCCCGTCCTCACCTTCGCGTTTCCGTTCCCGCCCTCCCTTCGCGTTCCCCTTCCTGTCCTCGCCTCCGTCCTCGTTTTCCCCTTCCTGTCCTCGCCTTCGCATTCCCCTTCAGCTCTTCCTTCGCGTTACCTTCTTCGTCTTCACCTTCCCCTTCCTGACCTCGCCTTCGCGTTCCCCTTCCCGTCCTCGCTTCCGCCTTCGTATTCCCCTTCCCTTCCTCGCCTTCGCGTTACCTTCTTCTCCTTCACCTTCACCTTCCTGACCTCGCCTTCGCGGTCCCCTTCTCGCCCTCCCTTCACGTTCTCAGCTCGTCCTCGGCTGTCCCTTCCCGTCCTCGCCTTCGCGTTGCCCTTCCCGTCCTCGCCTTCGCGTTGCCCTTCCCGTCCTCGCCTTCGCGGTAGCCTTCCCGTCCTCGCCTTCGCGGTAGCCTTCCCGTCCTCGCCTTCGCGGTAGCCTTCCTGTTCTCGCCTCCGCCTTCGTCTTCTTCCCCTTCGCGTTCCCTTCTTCGCGTTCCCGTTCCCGTCCTCGCCTTCGCGTTCTCCTTTTTCGTTCGCGTGCCATTTCCGAGCGGCGTTTGCGGCGAGCCTCACCACGCCAATCCGG